CATTAGGATCATCTGAGAGCTTTTTAAAAGTTCTAAATCTAGGCTGAATCTCCGACTAATTACATCAGAATCTCAGGGCCTGAGAATCAGATATTAGTATTTTTTTCAAAGAAAAATAAATGAGTTGGCTATTAGACAATAGAAGTCTAACTTCATAGAGGTCAGTACTGAAATGTCCACAGAATCTGGGATTATCCTTAAAACACTCCAGCAAGAGCAAACAACAAAACAAAATTCATAAAAACAAAAAAGTGGTAGAAACAGAAAAATGTAAATCACTGATAAAACTGAGTAATAGGAATAGGAAATTCATTACACTATTCTTTCTACTTTTTGTCTTTGAAATGTTCCATTAAAAAGTACCTGTATGTATCTATGTATAGATATAGATACACAGATACAGATTCATAAAAATATGGGCAGATAAATTAGGTGAAGATATTGGCACGAAAGTGGGTCAATAGTGGGGTTCCTCCTTTTGTGATAGCTGCAGCTGAGGGAAGCATCCAAGGATGTCCTTGTGTTTTGGTTACTTTTCTCTCGTTGCTGAGACAAAATACCCAGCGCCCAAAATGAAGGAAGGAAAGGTTTATTTAGCTTACAGTTTGTGGAGGTTTCAGTCCATACTTGGCTGGCTCCGAGGCAGAAGATAACAAAGCACCAAGAGCAAAGGGGGAATGGCGGCTGAACAGCAAACAGCCAGAGCAAAAGGGAGGAATGGCCGCAAGCAGCTTCTTTCCCTGCCTTACCTTGTAAACAGGCTACCCCCACCTAAGGGGCATGTAGCTCTCACATAATCTCCATGTCCTCCTCTTCCACAGGCTCAGGATGTATACAAAGTAAGCACCCTGGCTCCCTGCTGAGTCACTTAGCTAAACCTCTAGACTCCCCAAGTTGACACAATGTATCAGCCATAACACCTTGGCTGGAGATGGAGGTCCCTCCCGCTGACCTCCCACCAGGGGTCTTGGAACTCCCAACCAGTTTGTACCGCATCCGGGAAGAGCTCCAAGTGCTGTAGCCCTGCCATCTTGCCTCACTTAATTAGCCTATCACCCTTCCTTGCTATAGATTATTATCAATATCTTCCTGCCACCCCAAATCAACCATGGGATACCCTTGCCTTGCTGCTTTGCTGTCCCCACAGGTTGGACTAATCTCTAAACTGACTGCAGGAACTCTGAAGGCCTCTCACGTAGCCCCACCTCTAGCTCTACTAAGTGATCACCAAGTCCCTGTGGAACAAGAGCCTGTGCTCTGGTTCTGATTACCTAACACTCTTCCTTACCACCCCTTGTGTTTCCTAAAGTGGCACCCACTTGCTCAGGCTGGGAAGCTGGGCACTTCCCTGACTATCGTCTCTCTCACATGCTACCTCTTAAAGTATGTTTGAAATCTACTCCTTCTCTCTATCCCTACTGCCAACATCTTGATCCAGGATTTCCTTGTGTCTCCTTTGGACCAGCCTCCTAACTGGCCAAATTTTGGTTCTTTATCCTTTCTCCATACTAAAGCCAGATGATCTATTTTACACACATATACAGTTCTGCCCCTTTCTACCTAAAGCCCATCAGCGGTCCTTAGAATCAAGTTCAGACTCCAAGGCATGGCTTGCATAAGACCTGCCTGATTGGTGCCTGCCCCTTGCTCCCTACCACAGCCACAGGGATCTTCTGCTTGTTCCTCTGTGTGACTGTTTATCCTGGTCCAGGGGGCTCTCACCCGTTACCCTCTCCTGGCTAACTCTGACACACCTTCCAGGGTAAGCACTCTTCCTCCCAGAATCCTTCCTGACCCCTACCTGTCTGGGTTGGATGCCCCTTAGCAGTGCATTCACAGCATTGCATCATCAATTGCCTATTTATTTGCCTTTATGTCCCATCAAACTGAGAGCCCAACTGAGCAAAGATGGCATTTTCCATGGTCCATTTAAAAATCTCTAACACCTGGCTTAAGCCTTGCAGATAGTAATCACTTCGTAAATATTAACTGAATGAATGAGTGAGGTTTGTTGGTGTCCACACTGACAGCCCTCAGCTTCCCACTCTCCTTTACACATAGCGGCTCTGAAATGTTGATTCCAGGTGGCTGGGGAGACCAGACGGATGGGAATGCATTCTGCCTCACATAAAGAGGAGGAGTGCTCATAAAGAAGGTGTTATCCAAGCTCTTAAGTGGGAGTAGGTCCAAGGTTGAGACAGAAAGTTCAAGCTTTCGCCTCCCCGCTACCAGGAGTGAGATAGCGTCCTTGCCTGCACGTGGAGAATTATTCAGGGCTTTTGCAAATGCGTTGATCTGGCTGGACCCAGCTAAGGTGACCTACTTATGTGTCTCTTCCTGTCCTTTCTCGTCATCGCTGGAATATTCTCAGAGCATATGTATCTTATAAGAACCTTCTGGCAAGTTCATGCTCATGGTCTGCTCTGAGTGGAGCCTAGGAGCTTGGATGTAGAGTTTGTTTTCAGGGCTCTTGGAAGGCATTAAGCTCTGGTTATTTCTGAATAACCCCAAAGGGGTTATTTGGGTACACTTGGGCGGGTTCCAACCTGGGTCATCCTCTTCCCCACCCCTTCCCTGACAGTCACCCAGAGTGGGCTTGAGGGACAACTCAATTCTGGGCAAACTGCTTGCTCACCAGGAGAGGGTGGCTGCCACCCCACCTGATCCAACATTCCCTTCAGGCAAGGTTATTAGCAGCAAACAGCCAGCTGCAGTCCCTCATGGGAACGCTAGAAAGACAGAGTTAATAAAAATCTATCTTATTAACGGCCTGACCTACCAACATTGATCACATTAGAAACGCCATACACACACACACACACACAGAATCCTCATTATGTGTACAGGGACAAGGCTCAGCAGAGCTCAAAAAGCCACTTAAATCCATGTAGAAGCGACTCCTTCAAGTGCCTGAATATCCCCCAAAGTAATAACCCCTGACAAAGCACCGCCAGGGAAAATTCCTTGCAGATTTGAGATTTTCACTCTCTTAATCTCCTAACTCAATAAAGCAAACACTCCCTGCAACAAATTAAATAGTTTTATTAAAGTGTCCCCTCCCCCATTCTTTCTGATGCGGGTATGGTGGGGTCCATAACCTCCCAACCTGAGTGTCTGTGTGAGGGGCTGTCCCCTACTCCCCGGCATTTCTATTCTCCAAGGAGGCCAGGAATCTATTAGGATTTGCTGATTTTTAGATTCTTCTGAGACTCCAGCTTTCCTGAGATAGATCCCACAGCCTGTTAGCTGAGAGAAATGTTTTCCATTCTTTTGATGAGGCAGCAGGCCCCTAAGTAACTCTGCTTTCACAGTTTACCCAGAGGAGGACCCAACTGGGCTGTCCGGGCCACAGTGGACTTCTTGGTCAATGGCTGAAGCTTTCTGACTTCACTGGGGGCTTACCGGTCATACCTTGAAAGGTTAGAAGGAAACTAGGTGGGGTTAGCTGGAGAAGGGATTACAGGAGTGTGGGGAAGGAGTAGAGAAAACAGAGTTGTGGTGGGTAGGCCCTCAGCTCCGTTGATCCCTGCCCCCAATGTTGGCCCTTAGCCACTCCCCTTTTGGGATCTGTCTGGAACTGGGTTCAGCCTTTTAGATTTCTGATCATCAATTTCTTTTCACTATGGGCCTGAGATAGTTATTCCGAGGCTGAGAAAGCCTGCCCTGTAGGGAAGCCCACTGCCTTTCAGAGGGTAACTGACAGAAGCCTCTACAGTTTAAGAGGAGCTTCTTTCCAAAAATGTTTGATGTATAGTTTATCAGTTTCATAGTTGGGTCTGTGTGCAGCAGGCTCTATGGATTCACACAGACAGAATAGAAACTGTGTTTTGTCTAGGGTGACTTCCAGTCTCTGAGGGCCAGAGGCCTCCTCAGGAAGGGCTTCATGGTTATGTGTAACATGCCTACATAATGGGTCTAGTCCTGGCAGTTATTGCCAGGGGTTCTGGTTGCAGAGCCTTCCCAGGATGGGCAGAAGGCACCTTCCCTTTCCTGGGCCTCTGAGAGGATTTCTCTGACTTTCCTCCTCTCTACTGACCTACCTTGGGCAGAGGAGACCTGTGCACAGGCAGAGCAGTGGCTTCAGATCCCAGCTCCTTGGAGGTGTTAAGCTGCAGTAGCTCAGGGTGTGCCCTGGGCATTTAAAATGTCCTGCTCACTCCTGTGAGCCCTAGACAGATGTCCTGGGCTCTGCAGTTGTCCCCATTTATCTCCAACTCCATAGAACTGCCTCCAGACTCATGTGCTCCTCCAGAAGTCAAAATAGTCCCAGAGAGCTGGAGAGAGGCAGCAAGGTGACTGGGAAAATGAGGAAGGCATGACCACGTGCATAAGCTCCCAGCCGGGAAGTCAGACAGGTCTGGACTGGAATCCAGACTCAGCTACCTATTTGCTTTGAGCCTTGGCCTTGTACACCTTGGAATCCTGTCTATAGACTGGAATAACAGTTCTCACCCCTCAGAGAACCTTCTCTGCTTCCCTGCTTTCCTCCTTGGCTCCACCTCTGCGGCTCAGTCTGCTTGTCCAGCCTCAGACTCTGCCAAGTCCCTCTTCTGCAGTGGCCCCTGAGAACTTTCCAGTGGATTTTCCCTGCCACTTAGACTTAGTTTGCCTAACAGGCATTCTTCTTCCTCCAGAAAGCCCTCCCCGTCTGCCCCAGACCGTGTGGCACTGCCCATCTACAGCATTTAGTTAAATCATTTGACATTAAGAATATATATGCTCATGTTATTTTTTTTTCAGGTTCTCACGGGTGACTTCTCTATCTTTCCACTTGGATTTTTGTTTCTTTGAGAATAAAAGCAAAGTCATAAGTTTATTTTGCTCCTTAGTGTCCCACAAATTCTGGACCCCAGGAAAGACAAGTGGGAAGGTCTCCATGACCAGCAAGCTCCCGGGTAGAACCCAACATGTGAGGAACCACTTCTCACCAGGATGATTGGCCCTGGGAACACTATGATGAAAAGCCCTCTCTTTACCTCCCTTCTGGGGCTCCATCTCACCTGGCTGACTCCTTCCACTCCATCTGGTCTCCATCATGCTGCAGAGTGTCCATCTCTGTGAAGAGGGTGGGGTTGGGAGCCTCATCTTCCTCCCCCAGGATGTCCTGGAGCTGCTCAGCAGCTGGGGACCCTGCAAAAGGAAGGTGGTAAGTCTGACAAGTGCCCCATGCAAGGCAGGAGACCACAGGCCAACCAAAATGGAACAAGAGCCAAGGGTAAGGAAAAGTATCTCCTAATTCAGTTAAAACCAAATGTAGCTTCTGGGCAAAGATGGATGCACATCATGTTGGGTTGAGTATGAACAAGATATTCCTTGAGATAAAAAGATGAAAAGATTTGGACTATTTAGACCATAGGTCTTGTAGCTGACAGTGAAGAAGAATGGAAAATGTCCAAAGTAGGAAAGCAGCAAGAACAAGAAACAGAATAGAAAAGTAAAGCGAGAACACTCTGACCCAACTTCAGCATAACAAACCCAGAGGGGTCTTTCTCCTGATAGGCCTCAAACAAATCAGCTACCTAAATGGTTATGAACAGGAAGCCAGCCACGAAAGAAGACAGGCTTGCTCTAGTGTGCCACGTGGGCCCACTGTCTCCACAGGTCTCCTGAGCATCCAGCCTACTTTCCAATGGCCAGCTGGAAGTTGCCTCTCGGGTGTCCCTTAGGCATCTCAAAGTCCAACATTTCAACACTGCACATATATCCTTCCCCAAACATACTTCTTCCATCTCTCTGGCCCTTCCTCCCTCTTTCCCTCCCTTCCTTCCAGTATTTAGTGAATGCCTACTGTGTGCCAGGCATTGTTCCAGATGTTGGAAAATAAAGCTGTAAAGAAGACCCATGTGTCCTTGCATTTGAGCTGTGACTTGAAAGATTTGAATGAGCCACTTTGGCCCATCTGGAAAAAGAGCGCTCCAACCGTTACAGACATCCAGAGGTGGCAGTGTACCTGCTGGTCAGTGTGCCCGGAACATGGACAGCCAAGGGGAGAGGAACTGCCTGATGCTGAAGTGGGGACCAATGGCGTGGCTAAAGGCATCCCTGTCCACCCCAGAGACTGGACTGCAGGAGTGATCATCACCACACCTCTCTACTCTTGCTTCTCACTATATTAGAGTTGTCAAGGATACAGTCCCTCCTCGCCAACCCCATTGCCTGCCTTGATCCGGTTTCTCATCAGTAGTGTCCTGGGCCTCATTAAATCCTCCCTTTCCTCCCAGTCTCCTATTTCCTCAGTTTACCAGTCCTTCCACCCCTCACTTATTTCACAATAAGCCCTCAGTGGACAGTAATTTAAAATACTCTGTCATCACATGAATCAAATTATCTTCCTCCTTGACTTCCCCATAAAGGCAATGTCCAACCAAGAATTCACTGACCTTGTCTTAATCTCTACAAGTGTGTCTCGGGGCAAGCAGGGTGCCCAGTGGGCTTCTAATCCATCTAGATACGAATGTGGATCTCACCTGCCACCTGCGCATGAGTAAGCTCAGTCTGAGGGAACAGGGTCGTTGGGATGAAAATAGCAGGTAAGAAGAATAAAACACCTGGCACAAGGCTGAGAGTGTAACAGGTCCTCAACTCTCCTTGCCACCAACCACAGAACCCAAGCTCACGCGCCTCACTGCAGAAAACCACTCAACTGCGCAGACAGAGGGTTTCTACCCCCAGTGCATCTCAAGGGCAGCAACCTTCCACGCAGCCGCATCATTTTTGATCCATCTCCAACCCCACTTCATCAAGAAAGTACAGGTCTGCAGGCACGAAAACAGATTCCTCTCTCTCTTAGTCCTTCTATATCCTTATCCATGTTGCCACAAAACGAGTCCTTCCTCTGCCCAAAGCCTTGGTTCCAGCCCTCCCTCCCTCCCTGCTCACAGTACCTCCTGCTGCTGTTACTGCTACAGCCGACTTCCCCCATTGCCTGAGGGCCTCCATCCATCCCCAAGCTGCAGCAGAGCTTGCTTTTAAGACATTTCAAACTTGTTCCTGTAGTGGACTCCTGGGAGTCATGGTGCTCTTTCGGCTGTACCGTAAAAGATGACATGAGTCCAATAATTTAGGAGCAGAAAATATCATTAACTTATCTCACTGATGAACCTCACCAATTCTCCAAGGGATCACAGTTCAATAACTACTTTTTTTTTTTCAGTGCTGAGGACCAAACTGAGAGCCTTGAGCACCCGAGACAAGTGCTCTACCACTGAACCATATCTCCAGCCCTCAAAGACTACTCTTTTAAAAATGGAGATTTGATCATGCTACTGTTAGGGTGAAGACCCTTCAGTGGGTCTCTACTGTCTAAACCTAGGGTTGGGGATATGGCCCGAAGCACGTCTTGTAAACTGGCCCTGGCCTTTCTTCCTAGGATCTGGTGTGTCCCTCACCCAGCCGCCTTGTTCCACCTGCCCCTGACCCCAGGCTTCCCCAAGCCTAGCCAGCTGGTACCACACACAAGTCGCTAAAGAATAAGACTGGCCACCCCTCGGACCTCTGTGCATACCATTCCACAAGTCTGGACCTCCTTCCCCCTTCCAAGGCCAGAGAGAAGGCAAATAAATGGAGCTCTTATGGAGAAATGAGGCTAGAAGAGAGCGCAACAAGCCAGAAGCAGCCCTGTCTGGCGCATTACCTGCTCCCTGGAAGAGGTGAGCACTGGAGTCCCCGGCTGTAGGTGCTGCCTCTGGCCCCAGCCTGTTTCTGTTGCTGCCACCTTTGCCACCGCCCCCACACTGTCCTATTCCTCACACAACAAACTCACTTTTGTTTCCAGTTAAGCAGCAAGGGAGGGTGTGGAGGAGGGAGTGGAGAGGAAGCGGGGAGAGAGACAGAGAGGGAGAGAGAGATTGAGATGATGGGGGAGAGGACTCTTTGTAGAGAGAAGAGAGAGGTGGTAAATGTGAAAAAGATTGTGTGAGGGAGAAAAACTATATTGAGAGCAAATAAAGTTATTGTGAATGAGAGAGAGAGACAGACAGAGAGAGAGAGAGAGAGAGAGAGAGAGAGAGAAAGGGAGAGACAAAGAGAGAAAAGACAGGCAGAAGAAAGAGATATCTCAGGTGCACTGCAGAGAGAAGGGCTCAGTGGCTACAGCGGGAGCTCAAGCAGGAAGCCTGCTCTCCACAGCAACAGGGGTGGCGGCCGCTGAGGGCCTGTGAGAGGACTGGCCGGGCTGCCTGTCTCCCCTCCCCCAGGAGCCTTCCCCCCATGCCTGGAGGCTCTAAGAGAGCCCAGGCTCCAGCTCCTCTCCTCAGGCTCCTTTATAAAGGCTGGGTAGGATTGGCCTTGAGACTCCCCGGGGCCTCCTTAAGAGCCTTGGCTGGAGGTGAGCTGGCTGAAGAGTGGCCTGGTAGGGCCCTGTTTTCAGCTGCAGTCAGGGTAGAGGTGGGGCTGTTGGAAGGAAGTGTTTGCTGTGGGGTCTCACATTTCACAGCCAGCAACGTTTGGTCATTAGTGTTCCAAATAGCTGGTCTCTCTCTTCTCCAAACTTAAAACCCAAACTCCTCCTCTGTTTGTCTACCTCTAAGACAATGTACCAAATTTACCCCTCAGGGAGTGTTTTCTGAGGGCTCACAGCAGGAACTGGTCACTTCAAGGTGTGTGGAGAGCCCCGCTGGGAAATTATTTTGTTTCTTTGAGAAACTTCTAATCTCCTGGGTTCAGTTCAGCAAGTGCTTAGTGAGTACTTAGAATGTGCCAAGGTTGATTAGAGGTCACTGAGCAGGCGGCTGCTGCAAGGAGCTACAAATCCTGAATTCACTAAGTCTCAGAGCTGAGGAGAGGGAGCTTAGTGAAGGTCGAGTCCAAACCCTTCCTTTCACAAATGAGAGAAATTCAGATCTCGTATCATCACAGAAGCTCTCCAGGCCACAGGTGAGTGGAGCTGGGGGAGAGCCAGCGTCTCCTGACCTCCTCCCTCCACACTGCCCTGTTTGCTGTCTCCAACCACCACATTTCGGACCTGAGGCTTGAGAACGCCCATTTTAAAGCCGAGAGAACAGGACCAAAAGTCATGTGCAGAATGCTGGGCTCCAAGCAAAGCTACCGCCACACAGACAGCAGAGTGGCTTGGGAGTTACTTCCGGGGTGGTCAGTGAGGGGCTGGGCCCCTTCAGAATCCTAGGTGCTATGGCTTGCACTGCACTGTGGCTGAGGATGGCCCAAGCCCTCCTAGTCCTGTTGAGCAGCTGTTTGCCCACACCAAGTCAGGAGTTTGGGTGACTTCAACACCCAAAGAAAGTTTGCCAAGGATACCAGAGGGACTCTTTCTATTACTATTTTTTAAGAGTCCAGACCTGGGTTCAACTCCTGATGCTACTAATTCCTATGAGTAGATTCTCAGCGAGGCATCAAGCCCTTTCAGACTCAATTTTCCCCTCTATTAAGTGGGCATAATCACACCTACCTTTCTGGATTGTGGTGGGGATTAAATGAGCTGATATACGTAAAGTACCTGGCATAGTGCCTGGCATACATCAGTCACTCAGTAAGTGATGTCGCTATTATTATTGCTGCCAGTAGGTGTGACCCTTCCTTTCCTGTTACCAGTCTCCAGCCGGCCCCCTGTAAACATTCCAGGGACTCAGTCCTTTGCAGCCTTTTGACTCCTTCCTTTCCCCTGCCCTCCTCCCTCTCACAGCCCCTCCCTCCTTCCCACAGAAGGTTTCCGAGCTACTGCACGGGGTTTCTCTAATGTACTGTTCCCGTGTGCATGCACATGTCACAAGCTAATCCATGTAATGAGAAACGCCACAGGTCAGAGTCCTTCGCATAGCAGGGGCCCAGCGGTAGGAATGAGCTCAGCCAGCAGCCTCTGGGGGAATGGTAAGCTGCTGGGCAGGGATGAGCTTCGGGGAGCGCACTAAAGAGGTCCACAGAACGGTGCTTTTACTGGCTGGGGACTGACTGGAGGCCCCATGAGCGGAGTACAAAATGATCCAGTGGCCTGCAACCGGGCAGGCAGTACAGACTTCGCCTCTGAGTAAGGACTCGGCAGGCATTTATGACCGACAGGAACTCTGCACTGGGCATGGTCTCGCGGCCCTCAGCTTTTGCCAAGCCCTTGCAGGGATTCCCTCTCTCTCAGGCACCACACCAGATCGCTACACAGTCAGCTTTGTGGGGTCAGG